TAAATTTGAATATTAGTCTTAAACCAAATATATCTAAACTTGTACTTTTTTCTAGGTCTCAACAGAGGGGGGGGGGGGCTTTTAACATTTTTTGTTGCTAAATCTAAATCCATGTCTGCTAATCTGAATCTAAATCTGCTGAATCTTAATCTTTATCTAACAGACCCGTGAAAACTATTTATATAAAAATAAATTCGAGAAAATATTTTTTAATCAGTTGTGAAATATTTTGGAAATGTATATTTTTTAATTTATTCTTAAGTTTGTTCTATTCTACTTATCATTTGTAGAATAAATGAGGGATGATTATAAATAACTATTTCTTTAAATTTGAATATTAGTCTTAAACCAAATATATCTAAACTTGTACTTTTTTCTAGGTCTCAACAGAGGGGGGGGGGGGCTTTTAACATTTTTTGTTGCTAAATCTAAATCCATGTCTGCTAATCTGAATCTAAATCTGCTGAATCTTAATCTTTATCTACTCTGTATCTGCAAACTCTGAATCTATATTATCTAACTCTGTATCTGCAAATCTGAGTCTGTATCTCCAAAATCTGATTCTGTAGTTCCTAAATTTGAATCGGGAACGTCTAAATCTGTATTAAATAGATTTTAATCTGTTTCTGCTAATCTAAATTTAGAACTAAGAAATCTGTATTTGTGCCTCCTAAAGCTAAATCTGTATCTGCAAAATCTGAACCTATATGTGCTAAATCTGAATCTGTCTCTGCTAGATCTAAATCTGTTTCTTCCAATCTGAATCTAAATCTGATAAATCTGAATCTGAAAATACTATCTACACAGGACAAACCTTTTTAGACAAGAAAATAGAAGAAAAAAAACTTATTTTCTGTTTTACAATTAAACTCATCCTTCTTAATTTTTTAACCTACTACCGAAAAAATTAAAAATTAATCTCCATTGCCTAACTAATATGATAAGGGATAAAGAATAACAAAACAAAGAAAATTTGTAAACACCTAGAAAATAAACAATCTAATAAAACAACTTTTTTTTCAAATTCATTTATACCCCCAAAAACAAAAACCAACAAACCACACAAAAAAACGTTGAATTAAATTTTTTTATAGCCAAGAGATTTATAATTGATAGTTTTGACGTAAAGTAGGGTGATTGATAACCTAAAAATGAGATACACTGAACATGTCTATACAAAACAAATATTTACAAGGGACTATATAAGAATTTTTCAAAAACAATAAATAAACACAAAGTTTCAATTTTAGTAGATAGGTTTTTACTAAAAAAAACTTTTTTAAACAGACAAATAGGTTAAGTCTGATAACTTTTTTACTCGAACATCTATGACATGCCTAGAGACACAAACTTTTTTATAATCTTATCCAGCCATGCAAATGAAAAGAATAGGACAAGAACTTTGGATACTTGCCAGCTAACCTAATGTCCTTAAATTTCTATTTTTGAAAATACAAAAAATATTACAGTAATAAAACTGTATATAAAGATTTAAAACTGGATACATTCTCAGAGCTCTGAATCACTGTGAACAAGAATCTGTTCTAACTTAAAATTATTGTTGAACATTTGACTCCAATATTTGACTAATTAACCCTCATATATTTTCTTTTAGAAAAACTAATTTCACATTTAAACAAAAAGTCCTCTGAAAACATTGACAACCATAAACAACAAATATTTTCTAGTAGCTGAAAAACTATTCTTATGACTTTTATTTAGACCTCTAGTGGAGATATTTCTAACTAATTTTAAACACGGACAAAAAAATGTTAAGCTTAATGACACACACACTTTTTCTAAACTTGGCAAGCTAAAGAAAGAATGTCTCACCTAGACAAGAACAGAGTGTTCTGCCACATAATAAGTCGCTAATGGGTCTAAATTTTCGATTTTCGGGTCTAGACATAAAATTTACCCTAGCATAAACCTTTATGATCACAAAGGGTAAAACCTCATATCACAAAAAACGTTCCCCAATATAGGTAATTTAAAAAACTCCCCGGTGACAAAACCTAAACCCTTTCCTTTTAAGAAAGCTTAAATTTTTATTGAAGGAAAACAATACAACAAAAACTGCATACAAACCTGACTAATATAATATTCGAACAATAAAAACACCTATAAACTGGATTATATTTAAAACTGAAAAAAATATCTTGATTTATACGTTTTCACAATAATATTTAAAACAAATCAACACCATGAGAAGAAAACCATTTTGACACCAAAACAAACAATCAACACATCATATTTTACCCATTTACTCATTTAAATATTAAAAAACGTGTATACATTAAAAAAGGTTAAATATTAAAACGATTTTTTAAAAAACGGAAAATCAAGCATTCACAACTAAATAAACAAAACTAAATAAAAAAAATAGCGTTTAAAGAAGAAAACAGAACAGATTTTCTTTAACATTGGCTTTTATAAATAATGATCTTTTAAAAAAATATTACTCTTTTTTTTCCCAGCCCTCTCCCCTCACCTCCAAATAATTGTTTTATTTTAAAAATTTCGGAATCAAATCTATTAACAGAAACGGTAACGTTTACATAAATTTATTTATACAACAGGTTAACGACAACCTGAAACAAGATAAGTAACAGTAAAAGTAAATGTTCTATCATTAACTCGACATAAAAATATTTGACTCCCACGTTCCATATTAGTTGTTTTAATCCCAGAAAAATTACATATTTAAAAAAAAACACTTTACGCTTTAATCAAACTCCTAAAACATTGACAAATGTGACAAACTACAGAATGTTTTAAAAAAACCAAACAATTTCTAAGATTCAAAGAGACCTCTGGTGGTGAGATTTATAACATTTTTTACTAGGAAAATATAACAATCATAGTGACACGAGCTTTCTATAATTAACACACCTCGCCAAGTAGGAAAAGGTTCAACTCCATGTTTTAGTGTTGAACTCTTGATACAAGCCGTAAAATACAAAACAACACAAAAACTATATATTTTTAAAAAACAGCAAATATTTGAAAACAAAATATTATTCAAACAAAACCGAGTTCTAACATTCTTCTGTTAATACCTGGTATCCTATCCGGCGCTAAGGGTTAGACACTTGCCAGAAACCTAAAACCCTTAAATTTCTGTAACAGGACAAATCTTTTTTAGATAAAAAAATAGAAGAAAAAAAAACTTATCTACTTTTTTACAATTGAACTCATCCTTCTTAAATTTTTAACCTACTACCAAAAAAAAAAAAAAAATTAATCTCCATTGCCTAACTAATATGATAATGGATAAAGGATAACAAAACAAAGAAATTTTGTAAACGCCTAGAAAAAAATAACAATCTAATAAAACAACTTTTTTTTTTTACAAAATTCATTAATATCCCCAAAACAGAAAACCTACAAACCACACAAAAAACGTTGCATTACATTTTTTATAACCAAGAGATTTATGATTGATAGTTCTGACGTAAAGTAGGGTGATTGATAACCTAAGAATTAGATACAGTGCACCTGTGTACAGAACAAATATTTACAAGGGACTATATTAGATTTTTTCAAAAAACAATAAATAAACACAAAATTTCAATTTTAGTGAATAGGTTTTTACAAAAATAACTATTTTACACAGACAAATAGGTTAAGTCTAATAACTTATTTTTACTCGGACATCTATGACATACGTAGAGACACAAACTTTTTTATAATCTTAACCAACCATGCTAAGAAGAGGACAAAAACTTTGGATACTTGCCAGCTAACCTTATATCCTTTAATTTCTATTACAAAAATTATTACAGAAATAAAACTGTATATAAAGATTTAAAACTGGATACATTCTAAGAGCTCTGAATTACTGTAAACAAGACTATGTTCTAACTTAAAATTAGTGTTGAACATTTTACTCAAATATTTGACTAATTAATCCTCAAATATTTTCTTTTAGAAAAACTAATTTCACCTTTAAACAAATCTCCTCTGAACATTGACAAACATAAACAACAGCTATTTTCTAGTAGCTGAAAAACTATTCTTATGACTTTTTATATAGACCTCTAGTGAAGATATTTCTAACTAATTTTTAAACACGGACAAAAAATGTTTAGCTTAATGACACACACACACTTTTTTCTAAACTTGGCAAGCCAAAGAAAGCATGTCTCACCTAGACAGAACAAATTGTTCTGTCACATCATTAGTCGCTAATGGATCTAAATTTTCGATTCTCGGGTCTAAACATAAAATTTAAAAAAAATTTAAATCATTTTTTTCAACACGAAAAGGCCAACATAAAGTTTTGATACAAAAAAAAGGTACGTTTTTCAAAATTATTTGCTTATTTTAATATTATATAGCTTGGGAAAAAAACTACTATGATATGGGTTACTTTTTTTTACGGCAGAAACAGATCCTCACCAGGTCTTAACTCCTTGACAAACAAACATGAAAACAAATAACAACAAAAAAAAACTATATTTTTACGAAAATATCTTGAAATAAAAAAATTAATCTTTAAACACGAGCTCTGACATTCTTCTGTTCTCCTAGTATCCTCACAGACACTCAATATTGGACACTTGCCAACTTTTCAAACTCTCAACAGCTCCGGTCAACTTCTGCTCTCCTAGCACATCTTCCATATTATCTTTCAAAAAAACATTATTCTCTTCCACAAATTCAACCTTTTTTTTCTACTGAATTCTTGACTCCGTCCACGGGGCTACTTTTCCCCATTTTTTTAACGAAAATTTTAAACCGATTTTTCCAAAATGGGAAGCACAGATTTTTCCAAAATGGGAAGCTCAGATTTTTCCAAAGTGGGGAAATGTTCAACTTTTTAAAACATTATCTTTTTAAGTTTGTACTTACCCCCTTATTTAGTACAATTTACATAACAAATCCACATTCGTACTTTTGATCATTTCCCGAGAAACATGGTTACCCCATACTACTGATACTTCATACACATTTGACTTATTTGAAAAAAAAATTTAAATAATTGTTTAAAAACAGAATATTCTACCTGTTCCCTGGCCCTGATGATGAAAAATCAAAAATCTATTTCAAAGGAAGATTCAACTCAAAGATTATCTGGGTAAGATAAAAAACTAGACAAATTCTACATAATCAATAAATTATTTTTTTCGAATATATTTTACTCTTTAGAATGCGGATTTGATGATTTGGGAGTTAATTCATCTTCAGTTTGGGACATTTAGAGGATTCTTGTTCGATGATACAGAACGAAACTACCCTGTTGGAAGGTAGGTCAATATGTAAATTTAAACTTTTGAAATTTCAAACTTTTACAATTTGATCTAGCAATATTCATAATTTTAGTAATAAAGATCACAATCAGGTTAAAAAGATTATAGAATAAGAGTTTGAGGCAAGTTCCTCAGAATTTGAAGAATTAGACAAAACTTTTATTTAGATATTTGTGGAATATATCTGACCCTGATTGCTTCAATACAATACAGTATCAACAAGTTTATCTTACATTAACCAGGTTTATAGTTTTCTATACATACGAAGAGTAGATAAACATGGAAGGACAATATATAGTTTTCTATATATACGCGGAGTAGATAAACATGGAGAGACAATCTAGAGTTTCTATATATACGCCGAGTAGATAAACATGGAGAAACAATATATAGTTTTCTATAGATACGCAGAGTAATTACATATGGAGATACAATCTATAGTTATCTATAAATACACGGAGTAGACATATATGGAGACAATCTACATTTTTCAATAGATACGTCGAGTATATACATCTGGAGAGACAATCTATAGTTTTATATATATACACGGGGTAGATATATATGGAGATACAATCTACAGTTATCTATAAATACACGGAGTAGATATATATGGAGAGACAATCTACATTTTTCAATAGATACGTCGAGTATATAAACATGGAGAGACAATTTATAGTTTTCTATATATACGCCGAGTAGATAAACACGGAGAGACAATATATAATTTTCTATATATACGCGGAGTAGATATACATGGAGAGACAATATATAGTTGTCTATATATACGTCGAGTAGATAAACATGGAGAGACAATCTAGAGTTTTCTATATATACGCCGAGTAGATAAACATGGAGAAACAATATATAGTTTTCTATATATACGCGGAGTAGATATACACGGAGAGACAATCTAGAGTTTTCTATATATACGCCGAGTAGATAAACATGGAGAAATAATATACAGTTTTCTATAGATACGCGTGGTAGATACATATGGAGAGACAATCTACAGTTTTCTATAGATACGCGGGGTAGATACATATGGAGAGACAATCTATAGTTTTCTATAGATACGCGGGGTAGATACATATGGAGAGACAATCTACAGTTTTCTATAGATACGCGGGGTAGATATATATGGAGAGACAATCTATAGCTTTCTATAGATACGTGGGGTAGAAACATATGGAGAGACAATATATAGTTTTCTATAAATATACATTATGGAAGTTGACGCTTGGGACATTGCATGTTTGGGAAGTTGCTGTTTCGAAAATTGTCCCTTGGGAAGTCACCCTTGGAAATAGGCCTTTGGGAATACTTAAGACGATATTATAGGTGTAGCACTGTGGAGTTTACGTGTGATGATGGAACCTGTATTCCTCTGGTAAACAGATGTAATATTACTCCAGACTGTCCAGACAACTCAGATGAAGTAGGTTGCAGATCTATCATCCAAGAAGGTATTATTGTCTAATAATTCTTAAAAACTGGGATACAAAATGTTAAATATAAAATTATAATATTGAATCTTACAATTTTTTAAGGTTTTAATGCATTTAAATAGTTTATTCTGATTTATAGTAAGGAAAAACTTATACCTTGAAATTTAATTAAATGATGATTTTAGATTGAGAAATTTGGTCTGCAAATCTGTTTTGCTATTTTCGATATTATTTGAATTTTATAACCTTCCATGTTTAATGTCGGTCATGACCCAAAAATTAAAAATATTTCCTATAAAGTCTTTCTCTTAGTTATTCCATTTGTTATACCGTATGTTTAGCTACAGGGTTACCCACAAAGGAAATATATAAAATATAAATGGCAGTATAAATTACGTACAGTCGTCTCTGAAGTTTCATTCGTTGTTGGAAATCCTATCTGCAGAGTGCTTGAATTCTACTGCGTATTTTATATCTAATTTATTACCACCCCTATAATAATTAATCTTATCTCTAGAGAGTTATGATCCGTTCCTCCCAGCTCCAAGTGGGGTTACAAATGAACCTCTTCCTGTTGAACTGGACCTTGGTATCCTCGTGGATAAGATCATCATGAAGGATCTTCTACTCACGATCATGATCAAGATCCAGGCAGAGATGGTTTCAGTTTATAAAAATAAGGGTTATTAAGAGGGAGGTTTGACAAATCTACAATCTGCACAGAAGGGTGCAAGGCAACTAAAGGTTTTTATTTGAGTTTGCAGAATCTGATCTAGATTTTTCTTTGCCATTCAATACAAAAAATAGGGGATTAAAAAGATTAACATCTTTGACATACATATACAGTATCTATGACAATCTGATTTTTAAACACGAATTAATATTATTGATTTTATGTAGGAAAAGTCAAACTGGCAAAATTACAAAAGATATGTATTAGAATTAATATAAAAAAACAGAAAATTATTTCTAAAAAAAAACATAATCTGAATGTATATTGTATTTAGGTGAATTGGAAGGATAAACGGATAACTTTTCAAAACCTTCGAGATGATCCTTATCAGGTTTAAATAAACAAAACTTCGAGATGATCCTTATTAGGTTTAAATAAACAAAAATTCGAGATGATCCTTTTCAGCTATAAATAGACAAAACTTTGAGATGATCCTTATCAGGTTTAAATAAACAAAAATTCGAGATGACCCTTATCAGGTTTAAATTAACAAAGCTTCGAGATGATCCTTATCAAGTTTAAATAAACAAAACTTCGAGATGATCCTTATCAGGTTTAGATAAAAGAACTTTACGTAACTCAGTTTTTGCCACAACATAAATGATTTAATCCCAATACCTTTGCATCCTGGTGGTATAAACATTTTATACTTTAAACTTAGACTATTTTATTTAGTTAGAAATGTCTATGGTAATCCATTTTGGGTTGCAAAGATATAACGATTAGGAAATCAGAGTTTGTGGTAAAATCTCTATTTCCTTTTTTCTGAACTTTGTATTTAATTGTAACAAAAGTCCTAACATTAGTGATAGGAAAATCTTCATTTTCTAGTTTCACTATTTCTTTCTGTGTGTTATATTTGGTTTAAATAGAACTCTAAAGTCTACACAATCAAAGTTTTTATTTTAAGTTGAATTTGTTAAATTTGTTGAACTATTTTTCTTTAGAACATTTTAACTGATGAAGAAGTAAAATTACTTTGGAAGCCCACAGTGTACTTTGACAATGCGAAGAATGGACAAACAGTTCAAGAAAATACAATTAGGTGTGCTATGGGAGCAATTTTTTTAGTGTTAATCTGTTCAGAAAGCAATTATCCATATCTCACATAATTCAGCCTGCTTTTAAAAAGCCTCATCCATTTTTAAGACAGGTTCGACTTTGAAGTGTCGCAACGCCTTGGGGCTTTGATTTCACCGCTCTAACTCACTTATCCTTTTCTGTCCTTTTGCATGTACTTTTAGCACTATGAAGCACTTGTTGCTAGCTTTTATTTTTAAAGAAGTAATTGGCAAAATTCTCATCAATTTTTGCTTGAGAGCTTGCGATATTTAACCTTATTTATCCTGGGGGGGGGGGGGTTGTCAATAGTTTTTTTGCGATAACTCAAAAAGTATTTGAGCTAGTACGCTAAAATTTTCTGACTTTTCTAACTAACACATGCATATCACTATAGGCTAACAGTTGGCTTTTACTCCTTTTACACCTATAACTTCCTGTGTCCACAGGCAAACTGCCTAAATGCCTTATTTTACCTATGCCAGACTAAACCTATATTTAGACATACTTCCAATCATTGTATTTCAACATTTTATGGCTCTTTGTAATTTATATTATTGAAGTAGAGCCCAAGGGCTTTCCAAAAACGTATCAAATGGTATAGATTTTTATCACAATAAGAAAATAGAGGGGGGGTTCAACTTGATCCCCCCCCCAGGGAACCAGTCATAAAACCAGACGTCAGGACAAAAAGGTTAAATCACAGTGATCTTTTGTTATTTAAGGATTAAGTCAATTATTTTTGAATTACCGTTTCTATGGTTTACCCTAGGCTATAGTGTAGTTTGAACATTGAGTGTTTTGTCTGCTGAAAATATCAAATAATCAAAAGCTTCAAAATTCTGCTATTTGATAATGAGAGATCGTGGACTTGCGAAACAGCTGTTACTTTACTATTAGCCATTTATCGCTACAAATTAAAAATTTCCGTTGAGAATATCAACTTCGGGCGTATTGTAGATCGATTAGCGCTATAGCATCCAAAGCGCATGCCCAAGAGATCAAAATATTTGTGTGAAATTTATATAAACAAAGAAAAAGTTGTCACGATACAAGACAAGTTTATAATTGTAATGATTTTTTGTATTTCTCCATTTTAGTTTTACCCTTACGGATGCGACCAATAAGAATACATAAGTTATAGATAGCTTTTTCATCCCGGAATTTACCAAATAAAGGTTTTCAATATTTTCTCCGCACCATGTTTATACTCAACTATTATTAAGGCTCCTTGCAGTAAAGAAAGGAAGCGAGATTCCATTTCAAGATAGTTATGCAGTTGAAGAAGCAAGATACGATGGAGCAAACAATTTTATTAATATGACAATAAGGTAAAAACTTAAACAAGATATAATATTTTTTCTTAAAATATGATTTATTTAGGTTTTATGCTGAATATTTTTGTGATTTTGATCTTACCTACTTTCCATTTGATGTACAGGTAGATATATATATATATATATATATATATATACTAGAAATTAAGGGCCCTGAATTTCTAGTATTTAGAGGATTATCATTACTAGAGGACTAGTAATAATTATTTTGTAGAAATGCTTTATGGATTTCAAGCTGAGGACAGCCACTAAAAAATTTGTAAAGCTGAATATGGGAAGAATTAACTATGAAGGTTCCAAGAAAATGGTAGAATTTTCAATCATCAATATTTCTACAATAGATTTAGATGCAGACAATAGACGTTCAACTCAGGTGATATTAAAATGTAATTTCATGTATGCATTCTTCTAATTATTGAATGAATGTCAACAGCACTCTTTAAACCTTTATCTGCTTCAAAATATCTCCGTTTTCTAATTTGAAAAGAGTTTGATTCTAAAATTTTTTACTATTGTTTTTGTAGCAAGAAATCTGCAAATCACTTTTATAGAAATTAAAAAGAAGAAATTTTCTAAGAGGAAAACATGGATGTCTCATTCATTCTTGATCAGAGAAAGCTTAAATCAAATATGCCATTCTATAAATGAAGTGCCATTTGAAAAAGAGTGTACAGTCCCCGCCACCAAAAATAATTTGTTTGCTTTTACATTCTGCATTCTTCTCATCTAAATCATTTCCTTGACAGAGACAAGTTTTCCATTGAAATTTTTTTTCAAAGAACGTAAAATCTTGTCTCAAACTCTATTTTTGTAACCTGATGATGTAAAGGTTTTTATATTACAAACCATAACTATTTTAAGGAGCATAATTCGTAGTTTGAAAAGGTCGACGACATCAGAATACAAAGATTAAAGAATAAAAAAGTGTTATTTCAAGTGCTCAGGTTTTTAAATAAAATAGTAGACTAGAAAATAGTTGAAATAATGAATAACCCTAATTTTTTACAGAGACTTGTTATTCTATTTGAACGTGATTACTTTTACTACATGACTCAATCTTTCCTGACCACATTTGTTCTTGGTATGCTAGCTTACTCCACCTTCTTCATCAATATAGATGACTTTAATGATAGGTGACATTAGACTATATTGTATTGTGATTTATTGTATTTGATGACTCCACATCACGCAAGAATAACTAGATATCCAACAGTATAAATTTATGAATATTTAGAACTAGATAATCTAGGTACGGATAGTTGAACTACTTAACATAATAGAAATGTAGTTTAACTTTTCAAAACTGGTTCAACTACTTCTCCATCTTCATAAAGTCTGACGTCAGAGCTGAGCATTGTAGAATTTGGGTGGTAATTAAACCAGTCAAGTTTCGATCTGGTATGGTACATAAAACTGAGAAACTTTTAAACTGAATTTATTATTTATAGAAGTCTAAGACACCAATTGTGCAGTGTACACTGGCACATTTCACTTAATTAGTTGATTTTTTAAAATAAGATGGCTTAAATGTCGTCATCCTAATTTACAGTTTTATGTGTCCTTTTGAGTTTGGTAAATGTAACTTTTTTCTTGAATTTTTTCTTGTTTTTTATTCATGCCATTTTCGACACATATTAAAATTTTAACAATCTGTTAACTTTTTTGAGAAATATATCCTTAATTTTAGAAGTAATTTGTTCAATTCTGAATTTCTAGATTTATGGGATCTCTTACAGCTCTACTTGTCCTAGCCACGTTAACCTCAGTATATACTGCTGATCTACCCAAAACCTCATATTTCAAGGTAGGGTTCAGTGAGGGAGGGGTGGCTGCTCTCAGGGATTTGGAATTGCTCTCAGGATTTAGGAGTTGCTACTATGGTTTTGGAGTAAAATATGAAAATTTATCTGACCTTTTATATAAAGTCCTTAAAAAAGGTACTTTAAAACCGAAAATTGAAAAAAATAGCTCTGCTACCACTTCTATAGGGCGCGCACTAAAGCAAAAATCATCAAATTATTAAGATATTTCAGGAAAACTTAAAAATAAACATAATTGACATAATTGTTTATTTTGTGACTGTTGAATAAAACGGCTTTTTCAATGGCAACAATCAATTAAAGATTTTCTTAGGCAAAAAATAGGATTTTTTTCTGAAAAAAAAAACTTGGAAATAAGATAACTCATAAAGATATTGAGATGTCTTAGACCAGCTCAAATAAAACCTTATGTATCTGGTTAAAAAAGTCTATCTTTGCATATCTATATCTTTGCATAAATGTGCTTACAGAAATTAAAGAAATAATTTCAAGTCACCTCTTATCCATTAAGTGACATGTCCGATTCACATCAGTTCTCTTTAAACCTTTGTCTCTTTACCCCGGCCTAGGCCGCCCCCAATATCAATTACATATTCTTGTTTTTATGGCTTAAAAATGAATATTCTAAATTGTGGTATCTCTATAGAAGAAAATCTTTCAGATTTGTGCAACCGGGTAGGAAGATGTGTGAACTAAACATTTTTTTATATTGAGCAATTACAATAGTTTCCTATTAGTGGCTCAGAAAAGAGTACTCTGGTGAACTAAACATGTTTTTATATTGAGCAATTACAATAGTTTCCTATTAGTTGCTCAGAAAAGAGTACTCTGGTGAACTAAACATATTTTTATATTGAGCAATTACAATAGTTTCCTATTAGTTGCTCAGAAAAGAGTACTTTGGTGAACTAAACATATTTTTATATTGAGCAATTACAATAGTTTCCTATTAGTTGCTCAGAAAAGAGTACTCTGGTGAACTAAACATATTTTTATATTGAGCAATTACAATAGTTTCCTATTAGCTGCTCAGAAAAGAGTACTCTGGTGAACTAAACATGTTTTTATATTGAGCAATTACAATAGTTTCCTATTAGTTGCTCAGAAAAGAGTACTCTGGTGAACTAAACATGTTTCTATATTGAGCAATTACAATAGTTTCCTATTAGTTGCTCAGAAAAGAGTACTCTGGTGAACTAAACATATTTTTATATTGAGCAATTACAATAGTTTCCTATTAGCTGCTCAGAAAAGAGTACTCTGGTGAATTAAACATATTTAGAACTGTAGAACTGGAAGGTCACTTGAAATTACGTCTGAAATTTAGTTAAATAAATTACAGTAATTCTTCTCAAGGTTATCGATATCTGGCTCCAGTTCTTTGTTATCAGTACTGCAGTCAATATATCAGTTCACGTTATTGTTGATAACCTCAGGTTTGTTCATATATAACGAGGGCTGTTATTAGTCATTATTAAATTTTTGCATTAATTTTCATACTTTGGTGGGTTTTTTTTTTGACGGAATAATGGTAGACTGGCTAACATTAACATTACAGGAAGAAGGAAACCAAGGAAAATGACGAGCTCGGAAAATTCCAGGTAAAAAAAATTGTAAAAAAAAATTGTTTAAATTGTTTTTAGGAAAGGATTCTTAAAGTTGTACTTTCGGGATTATATTTACACCACATGAAATCAATCTTTACACTTTAATAATTGAAGGCTTTAAACAAATAAAAGCAAAATTCAATCTTGAGAAAATGTTTAACCTTATTTTAAGATGAAATTGCAAATATTTACTGTTCTTTTTCAGAAGGTTTTTGATGACGCCAAAAAGAAGGATTTGATTCGAGTTAAGCGATCAAAGATGGTTACTGCACGAAGAGTTAACAGTTGCTTCATCATTTTCTTTCCGATCATTTTGATATTGTTTACGATCTTTATGCTTATTTATGTAATGAGAGCTCCAGAAGTATCTGTTTACAACTAGAATAATCCTTTATTACTCATCATCAATTGATTTTCCCTTTTTTTTCAGAAGAATGCATTTTTAATCTTGGGAGAAAATCTTAATAAACTCGTTTATCTAATTTGAATTGTTCTGTAGGATGAAATATGATCTTGTTGAATTAAAAGGATAGTTGTATAGAAGAAGAAGGATGAAGATGAAGAGGAATGAAGGATAGTTGTATAGAAGAAGAAGGATGAAGGGGAATGAATGAGTATAATGGGATTGAATAAGAGTTCCCCCCGAACTCATCAATTTCAAGTGTTGGGAGTCATTAGAATTAGTTAAACTTGGCTCACTGGCTCAATGTTGTAATTAAACAAAACCTCTCTACATACAGTCTTCACTCTGTGCTCTACACTCTACATTCTACACTCCTCTTTTATTGCCTTTCTCGAATCCCAATTTCTTTTTTTCCTTTCTTACCATATCCATTTTTCCTTTCTTACCATATCTATTTTTTCTTTCTTCCTCTCATACCATATTCATTTTTCCTTTCTTACCATATCCATTTTTCCTTTCTTACCATATTCTTTTTTCTTTTCTTACCATATCCATTTTTCCTTTCTTACCATATACATATTTCCTTTCTTACCATATCCATTTTTCCTTTCTTACCATATCCATTTTTCATTTCTTACCATATCCATTTTTCCTTTCTTACCATATCCATTTTTCCTTTCTTACCATATCCATTTTTCCATTCTTACCATATCCATATTTCCTTTCTTACCATATCCATTTTTCATTTCCTACCATATCCATTTTTCCTTTCTTACCATATCTATGACTGTCTGAATAAAAATGAAAATGAGTGTTTGACTACTGAAGTATGTTTGTCCCTGTACTCCTGCATTAAGCAAACTCTTGAAACTGTTCAACTTTGATGAATGAGGGGTAATTAAGCAATATTTAATTAATTAATATATTCAACTTGTATCTATCTATCTCCAGAGGAATAATGAGTATCTATCTTAAAAACAATTTCTAATTATCCCTGCATCATTTATCTTGCATCCTTTAAACTAATTATATTTTGGTCTGACATTTAATCAATAATTTCTCAACAATGCTAGTAATAATCTTGATCAAACCTCATTGACAAAATTCTCAAAAAAGATTAATAATGAATTGAATTTTTTACATACATTATAACATGATGCACAGCTTTATTCATATCCAGACGCGTCTAAATTTAAGGATCTGAGTTGTTTTCACAAACTCAGGTTACAAGAATAGGGGTAAGAAAATTAAAGTTTGTGTAAAAAAAGAAAACAAATTTTTTTAGGTGCGGTAATTTTGAACTATAAAGAATGTAAGGAATACTTGGATTTCTTATTTTCATATCACATGGTTTCTCGATCTCATGGTTTCTTGATCACATGGTTTCTTGAACTCATGGTTTCTTGATCTCATGGTTTCTCGATCTCATGGTTTCTTGATCTCATGGTTTCTCGATCTCATGGTTTCTTGATCTCATGGTTTCTTGATCTCATGGTTTCTTGAACTCATGGTTTCTTGAACTCATGGTTTCTTGATCTCATGGTTTCTCGATCTCATGGTTTCTTGATCTCATGGTTTCTCGATCTCATGGTTTCTTGATCACATGGTTTCTCGATCTCATGGTTTCTTGATCTCATGGTTTCTCGAACTCATGGTTTCTTGATCTCATGGTTTCTCGAACTCATGGTTTCTTGATCTCATGGTTTCTCAATTTTCTGATTAAAAAGGTTTTTAATAATGTGGATACAAGTATAGATTAAAATTTGATTGCACTCTAAACTGAAACACATGAGTGGCACACAAAAAAAACTATCTATTGGTAAGTACAGGGTGTCCCGCGAAACATGACAGTTGGTGAATAGTATTAAATGTCTTCTTCCATAAGTTCTTTGATACAAAAAAGATAATTTATCATTTAAAAGAAATCTAACATGGCAGTAATTTTATAGTAAAATTGATTTCAGAGTAAAATATAATTGAGTAAAAAATTTATCTAACGAAATAAACTGCAAAAAGTCTTTAATATCTAATATAGTATACGGAAGAAGTCATTCAAAACCATTCGCCAACTCTCATGTTTCGTGGGACACCCTGCATGGTTCAAGTCAAGATTAACCAAAACTATGAATAACAAGAACAATATATACATTTAGGGGAACTTTTCGTGCAATTTTCATGGCTGATAGGATCAAAGGAGTTGAGTCTTTGGAACAAATTCAAATATTTAAACCTCAATACCTTTAGAATGTTGTGAACCTTTGATATTTCAAACTCTGATTATTTGATCTAACAGAATTCATAGTTTGAAATATCTAAGGTCTGCAACATTTGGTTCCAAAGACATAGTGATTAGAAAATCAGAGTTTGTGGCAAAGAGTCAATTCCTTTATTTACTGTAATGTAAAGAGTATAAATATAGCAATGTAATTTTAACAGTATGCAGACATAACTTCAAGTTCAACTTCAGATTAAATCTTTAAAATTCTTGAAAAATACCAGAATTCCTATTCTGTGAACAAAATAATTGGATCAGGTTCTTAAACATAATTTTTATCTCATCAATTTTACTGGTGAACCCCTCCCTCTCTGTATTTGAAGGGGGAGAAGGGTTGAATTATTGAGGTTGTGTGGAGAAGGGTTTAGGATTAGTTCTGCTCTATTCTAGATATTATCGGTTCGAATTCTCCGGGAACGGGATGATAATACTATTCAATATCCCTGTAAAAATTCAGTGATCTACACCTTTATTGGTGAGTAATAATAAGGGAAATTTCATAGTTTTTCTTAAAAACAGATTCTTTCATTTCTATCCAATTCCTTATTTGTCTCTGCTCCATAATCTGCTAATCACTTTTAAAGAGAACCCGATGAACCCGATACTGAAAATTATAAGGATATCTCCATCAGTTTGTGTTCATCTAAACAGGTTTTAGGCGCGCCGTTTTGAACCATTCATGTAATTTTTAAATATATGGTCACTTATGCTGTTTTCATTGATATTCACATCTATATATATACTTTGCTTGTCTGGGTGGGTGTTTGTCTGTTTGTTTAATTGTATCCAATAAACGTCAAAACGATTGAATCATTATATTTTTTAATTGTTTTATGTTATACGAAGAGACAATGCTCACAGATGATCCACAATTAAAAGTTGAAATAGAAGATGGCTGCGCGCGAAGCCTGTAATTTTAAAATTGCTATGAAAATTTTGCATGAAACCAAAATCTGGAAACTTTTGTTTCAAGTTTTCAAGTTTTCGTTTTTAGGTGAAAAACTAAGAATTATTGCGTAATCCTGTGGTTTATACCGGCATCTATTTAAGTCTATCAGAAGAGGGAAATACAACCACTTCTGGTCTGACATTTAATCAATAATTTCTCAACAATNAAGGAAATTTAATATAAGGGAGGGTGTTAAATCAATTCAATCAGAATATCAAATATATTTTCTAGTATTTCGGGGTTAGGGGAGTGGTGCACTTATCCCATTCGATATCATAAGATTTAAATAATTTAAATAATTTTCACTCAGTGTTTATTTAATATTTCTTAGTTCTTTGTGTAAAAAAAGTTAATGGTTTGACCTTTTCAAGCATGGTTTCTTCACTAAAATAATTGTGTCATAAATTAAATTAGAAATGACAACAACCTAAAATAAATTGCAAAACTGATTAAAATCTATCACTATCATTTAATTGAAGATATTTTGAGAAGAACTGAAATGTTTTGAATTCTGTAACAAAATATATCTTCTGTATTATATTTAAATGCGTCAAATCAAAACAAGGGGTCACAAAGTCGTACCCCACCAGTCTATTTCGCCTTCTACTTCTGTCTAGTTTGCGGTGGAATATCTCAATTGTCAACTCAGTATAAACTCTATTTGTAAACTCTTCCAAGTTGTTTACGTCTAGCAAATAACTAAAATTTATAAAAGACGACATTTTAAAATCTCTATAAGAAATACCTGAAACCACTTATTTACAATTGGCACTGTAAACCTAAAAGCAAGGTGATCCCTCTTTCCTTAGCCACCTCTTTTCATATATTTTGCCAAAACACCATTATTAAATAGCTAGCTCTATATGTATGTGGAAACTGTATAAAGGATGATTAGTAGAAGAAAGAGAGATAGTTGTGTAAACAGGAAAATCAGCAATCAGCTGTGAAACCTTAAACATCCATTAATATCAAACATATTTACTCAAAGAAAACATTATACCATAACCCCCCCCCCTCATAATGGTTTAGTCAAGAGATGACTCTAAACTTCTAAAATGAATAGGTCGGGCCAACGTGGGAAGACCTAAGGTGAGCTAGGGATAGGGTTTATGTACACTGTACATACTATACTGTGATTGTGAACTATTATAGAAGGCTGTTTGAAATTAGTTTTATCAAAACATTAACAAATCATTGTTTACTAACGGTTTTTATCATACGGTGATAGGCGATAATATCAATAATGAAGACGACTTTTTTATTTAGGTTTTTATTATTTAAAAGCTTTTTTCGAATTACAAGTTTACTAGTTATTAAAGAGAATTGATTTTTAAAATTGACAGCTTCTCTTTGTTTCCATGTTTTTGTGTATCTATGCTTTTCAAAAGCTAGATATAAACCAAATTTGAAAGTCGTCTTTATTATATTGCTAACATCACCTACCACCGTACAACAAACCAGTTTTGGAGTATTCCACCTCACCTTAGGTCTCCACACATTGGGTTGCGCCATATTTCTGTTATATGAGATTTTAATTGTATTAAACGTTTAAACTTGGATGAAAATAATACTTAATAAATTCCTACTGCCATTTGCATTTTGTTGTGACTACACATTAAACTAAAATTGATTTCAATTTGAGTTACAATTCTTCTTTTCTTTAGACCTAACTGCTCTTTTTGAGAAAAGGTATTGATATTTAATAAAATGTCAAAGGTTTCAAATCACAGGTATCAGAGTGAGGTGGTATGTCCGATTAACAACAGTACCCTGAAATCGTTTTATGATTAATTACGGATTAGATATCCATATTTATCTCCTCCTTTATCTTATATTGTGGTTTCTCTATATTCTC